GAGGCATGCAACAAATCCAACAGCATCGGGGGATCCCCATACAGCCCCTCAACAGGCATTAGCAAGGTTGGTTTATCTATCTAAGGTCACTAATAGAAACTCTATCTTGTCAAGGATGGTTTTTCTGCTTTTGCTATATTGCACTACTCTTTTATGAGAATGTACTCAGCATGTATATAATTTTAAATTTAAAAAAATTACTACATAGTGGGAACTGCTTAGTCTTGACTAAATATGCTGCTCTGCACTTTCGTTCAAGTTCTGTTGGGCATGGTCTGAGGCTGAGGTTGGCTAAAATGTAAAAGCAGGGCTGGCTGGACCTTACTGGAGAAACATATTCACAGACAGACAACCAGCTGCCAACAGAAGGGGGCTGCTGGTCATCTGGCGCAGCTGCTGGCAACCTGTGCAGATGCCGGAGAAGTCCTGACCTACCTGGCAACCCCCACATCCCTGGGGCAGGCAGGTGAGCGGGGCAACCTCACTCCTGAGGACAGGAGGGCATCTTCAGTCATCTTCCTTGAGGCCTGAGAACTGATTCAGGCAATCCGTTCAACTGTGTAAAAATCTAGCCACATATCCTGTATGGAACTGCTGAGCCTGTAAGTCTGTGTTTTTCTGTGACTCCAATTACCTTGTGAACCTGAACAAAGGGGCAGCCAGAATCCAGACTTTGCATGATGGTGAAAGGACGGCCCACAAACCTCTGACCTGCTGCGGGAAAGGAAGGCAGCAGCATCACTCCTGGTCTAGCTGGGAGAGTTGTTCTCCAGCCAGCTAGTGAGGGACCTCTAGAGAGGATGTTCCGCAGCTCATGAACATGATCTTCAGAGCAGGGATGCCCAAGCCCTGTGGTGCAGACACAGTCTCAAACCCTGGAGTGACCTGGGCTCAAGAGTTCAGTAGGACTAGCCAAGGGGTGGAACGGGACTGAGCTCCAACACAAAACTTTGGGTACCATATTTCTCAAGCAATGAAAAGGATCTTTTCATCCCTACCCACCCGCAATTAAGTAAACCACTTAGTCAACAATTCCATAGCACCCTGACCTTCTGAACTACTCCACGCTTTAA